AATAGAAATGAGAGCACATTACGATAGACTTCATTGTTGGATTGCCTCATTCCACTCAAGGTATGGATTCTATCTGGGTAATCATTGATTGTTTGACCAAATCTGTACATTTCTTACCTATTAAAACTATTTATACTGCGGACAAGTTGGCTAATATTTATATGAATGAGATTGTGAGGTTACATGGGGTGCCAGTATCCATTGTATCTGACAGGGATTCGAAATTCATGTCAAGGTTGGCAAAGTTTGCAACAAGCTTTGGGGATTGAATTGCGATTGAGTAGTGCCTATCAACCATAGACAGATGGCCAATCTGAATGAACTAATCACACTTTGGAAGATATGCTTAAGATGTGTGTGTTAGACTTCTAAGGGAATTGGGAGACTTACATTCCTTTGGCTGAGTTTGTGTACAACAACAATTACCATTCAAGCATTAGAATGGCTCCTTATGAAGCTTTGTATGGTAGAAAGTGTCGATCTCCGCTAGGTTGAGGTAGGTGATAGACCATTATTGGGACCAGAACTTGTGCAAGAAACAACTGAGAAAGTGAAATTGATTCAACAACATTTGAAAACTACATAAAGCCGTCAAAAGAGTTATGCGGATGTTCAGAGAAGGGACAGAGAATATGAAGTCGGTGGCCATATATTTATCAAAGTAACTCCAATGAAGGGCCAGACATGATTCGGCACGAAAGGAAAGCTAGCACCAAGATACATTGGCCCGTATGAAGTTTTAGAGAAAATCAACTCAGTAACATACTAAGTGGCCTTATCTCCGGTCATGGAGAATATGCACAATGTGTTTCACGTCTCAATGCTTCAAGATTACTTGAGAGACCCATTGCACGTGATTGAGCCGACCCATGTACTTCTGAAAGATGACTATATGTACGAAGAGAAGCCAATTTAGATTGTGAATCGTAGAATTAAGAGATTGAGAAACAAATAAATACCATTGGTAAAAGTTGATTGGCCAAACCATGGAGGGACTTATGCAACTTGGGAGATGAAAGAAGACAAGATGAAAAAATACCCTGACTAGTTTCCGTTGAATCCAATATTCTTCCAAAACAAAGGTAATTCGAGTTTAGAGGACCAAACTCTTTAAGGGGGGAAGACTGTAATAACCCCGACCCATGATTAACTGTTAAGCCATGATTAAGTATGCCTAATAAGTAATTAAAATGAAATTCTGAATTAAGTGCATGTGTGTTGCATTATTTGTATTTCTATCTGTCTATCGTAGGAATATCTATTTCAGATTCTGTTATAATTTGCGAATTGAAGGCCTTATCGGCATCCGATCATGGAATTGACTTAGTATATGTGTTATGTGAAATTTTTAGAATTTTATGGTAAGTTTAATTAAAATTCGATTCGGAATGAATTAATTAGAATAATTAATGTCAATGTGATTAACCTAAGCCAAGATTAATTAAGTCAACTTAATTGAGCCTATATAAGGCATGAGTGGACTCTAGTGTACATTTTACACTCTCATTTTATTCCCTTGAGACAACAAAACGTGAGAGAGAGTGAGAGTTAGAGGGAGAGAGTGAATTTAAGAAGAAGAAAAGGAAAGTTGGTAAGATTGATAGAAATTTGTGGAGATGAGCAAGAATTTGTTAGAATTCAAGAGAATTGGGAACTCTAGGTAAGAATCATGCCCTCGAACTTTGTATTCAAGACATTGGTGGTTGAACTTAAGAGGTTTAAGTGTTTAAATTTGAGAATTGAGCTTAGATTAAGGAATTAGAGCATGATTCATGCATTGCATGCATAACTTACTAAGATTTGTAAGTTGATTCTCAAGAATTTGCACATGCATGCCTATATCTTGGTTTTGTTCAAAGAATTCACCATGTTTTTGACCTAAACATCTCATTTGCTCGTGATTTGGAAACTTGGAGCTCAAATCCTTTCATGCATGTCATGTTCATGTTATGTTTGCACATTTCAAGCTTGAGTTTGTACAATTGGCATGCTTATAAGCCTTGATTTCATGAAATGATCTTTAATTCTTTATGTTTTACAAGTTTATATAATTTTTCTCAAGTTTTGGGGCCTAAAGGTTGCATTTTAAAGCTTTAAATTCAAGTTTTGAACTTGGAAGTGAAATTTGAAAATTCTAGAATTCTGCTCTCCGCTCGAGCTATAGATCTTGTGCTCGAGCGATCACCTTTGTTTTTGCACCTCCGCACGAGCGACCAAAAGTTGGCTTGAGCTTAAAATGCATGCTCCCAGAATTTTACAAGTTTTACAGAGCATTCGAGCGGCAATAGTTACGCTCGAGCGAAGACCTATGTCTCACACTTGAGCAACCGTCGAGTGTGCGTACAGCGAAAAAATCAAACAACCAGTACTTTCGCAGAGTTTACAGACCGCTCAAGTGACCAAAGTTGTACTCAAGCGACCACTCACATTTTTGAGCCCCCGCTCGAGCGAAAGAAGTTTTGTTCGAGCAAAAACCCTGTTTCTAGCAAATTTTGCTAAGTGTTTCAAAGTGCATTTTGACATCCACATTACATCCTAGGCATTCCTAGACCATGGTTAAGACATCATAATGAGGACAAGACTTACAAACACACTAAGAATGAAACATAATGAGTTAAGTATATTCTGAGCGCGTGTTTCAATGTGTATCTGCTATATATTTGTGTAGGTCACGCGCCATAGACTGTCCAAATTTCCCTCTTTCTCTATTTTGCTATTCGAGCCATTAGTGAGTAATAACTTAGTAAAGCTACATTCAACTTTAATTATTTTCTGTATATGGAATAAGACCTGTTTTATGAATTGTTATGTTCTGTACAATGAATGAATGTCTAGTTTCTAACAAGTATTCGTGGCAGCAATTCCATGGCTCAAGTATGTTATCTGTACCTGGTACTAGAGGTTCCTTTATGGAACTGACAAGTATGTTATTCGTTCCCAATACTGGAGGTTCCTTTATGGAACTGACAAATATGTTATCTGTTCCCAATACCGGAGGTTCTTTTATGGAACTGACAAGTATGACCCTTAATGCTCTGTATTTGACTTGTTTCTCGGTAAAGATGTACCCATATGAACAAGCATGAATTTTGATTTCCGTACACAATTCAAACAAGATTATGAATATCAATCTATTTCTATTTTTTGAACTTGTTAGGAAGTCATTCATTTAACCCCTTACTCTGTTATTATTCACTGGGCTTCCGCTCACTATTTATATTATATACGTAGGTAGGGCTGTCAATGGATCAGATTTAATCCGAATCTGACCCGCATCTGATCTGAAAATCCGAATCCATTTACAAAAAATCAGATCCGGTAATCTGAATCTGTTTAATCCGTTTATTAAACGGATTGAATATGTAAAAATCCGATCAGATCCGATTCAATAATCCTATCCGATGATTCTTAATTTAAATGAAGAAAACATAAAATGAAAAAAAAATCAAATTATATAAAATTGTAGCTTAATAAATAAAATACATGAATCAGATCAGATTATCAGATCGGATATCCGAAATCATCAGATTCAGATGCGGATATCTATAATCAGATATGGGCTAAAGGGATTCAGATCAGATTGGGGTTTGTCTTAATCGGATCAGATTCGGATTTTGACAAATCAGATCTGAATCATATCCATTTACAGGCCTATATGTAGATGAGCAGGCGCGTGATCAGCCCTAAGCTGTTACCTGCAAAGTTTGGGTCAACTAGTCATCGTGCCTCCCGAGGAGGTTCCCTTTTGAGATCCGATCAAGTTTTTAGAAACAGTCTTTGAGACTTTTGTACTTTCTTATGTTTATGTTTGGCCAGAACATGTTTTGGAAATTCTGTATATGTAGATTTGGTGACGTATGACTAATGTGTATATATATAACGTCACTCTTATGTATCAAAGTTTTAAATTTTTGTTCCATGTATGTCTGCACATCTCTATGGATTATGAATATTCATATATTTGCTTCCTCAGCCCCTTATTATATGATATTTAGGTCAGAGGCCTTTGGTAATCTCAGGATTATTGGCCGGTTTTGATACTAAACCTACAGAGGCGGGTTTGGGTCGTGACAAGGGGTATAGACAATTCAATTTGGTTGGTTTTTATAAACAATTACCTATCAATTTGTTAATTTATAAAGGTTAAATTGCATTGATCTCTTTTAAGATTTGAAAAGAAAAAATATAATAAATTTTATAAGTTTAGTATAATTATATTAAGTTCTCTTAAAATTTTAACTTATATAACATTTAATCCTTCTTTTATTTATAATTTTTTAGTCATATAAATTAATAAATGAAATTATCGAATCTTTTACACCAAAATTTATAGTTTACCTTATTTATCTTTGTGTCTTCACATTATCTACATTGTTATGATCTCTTTAACCTTTTTTAAAAAAATATCAATGTAATTTTATCAAAACTATAAAATTGATTATATTTTTTCCAATCTTTAAAAGAAGTCAATGTAGTTTACCGATTTATAAAATCAAAATAAATCATTGGTGTTATAAAATCGAACCAAATTGTTAGCATGGGTGGTTGGACTCATTTGATGCAATATTTTTAGTTTGGGTCTACTTTTTTGGGCCTAAAATCTCTAATAAACTACTAAGACACAATACCTTCTAACACAAAAACAATTTTTTTTTTCACAAAATAAAAATCAAGATAGGCATTCCACAAGAATATATGTGTGTACTGTATATTTTACATTGAGTATAGAGTAGTGGTGTTCATGAAAAAATGAAACTTGAATTGGCCTCTCGGACCGACCCAAATCTAATGGAAATTGACAGTTTCGAATATTCAAATGGGCAGCTGTGGTTTAGTTTGGCTGAGTTTTGCGGTTTTGCAATCGATAGCGGTTTTATGTAAATTATTACGGTCGAAACCAACCCGACCGAAATCTATAACACAAGCAACTCCTACGTTTTTAATATATATCTGTATAATTGTATTATTATTGGGGAAAAGTGCAAAGCTTCCACAAGAAGCTTTCTATGATGATGATGATATTTCAACTTTCAAAGCAAAGCTGTCCCAGCAGACCTACTACACACAGCCACAAACAGTGTAGAACCTTTCCCTATCATCTCCTCTCATCTTCCCCATATTTCTTTCTTTTCCATATTTCTCTTTTTCACTCTCTCTCTCTAATTTCTCTCTCTATAACGTAAACCCACCTTCTTCCCTCATTATATATATCTCTTTATAGCTATGATTTACCCATTCTCAACTTCCTAGATCCATCTCTTTCCAATCTCTCTCTCTCTCTCAACCACTTTCATCTCTCTTTGATACTTTATGTCATGTGAGGTGTTTCATTTGTCCTTCAAATCAGAGGTTCTGATGCTGGTGGTGGTGCTCTCTTATAACTAACTAAAACCCTAGGTATGAGTTTATTTGTTTATTATGTTTTTGATTAATAACCTATGATCGATATTGTGTTTATGGTTAATTTTTCTTGAACAACGGAAACCCAATATGGATTTTGTATTTTTTAATTTGTTTTAACAAAAACACTAGGTTTTTTATATATATATATATATATTAAATTTTTTGTAGACTAACATAAACCCTATGTGGAATTACTTTTTTTATTAACAAAAACCCTAGTTTTAAGTCATTGTTTTTGTTTAAAAGAAACTAAATGAAAAAATAAATAAATTGAAAGCTCATATGTGTTCTTTTATCTTTTGGTACTTAAAATGTGTAGTTTTTCAACAAATCGTTGTGTTAAAATGGAAATTTATTAGCATGTTTGATTAGTTGATGTATATTATGCACTAGATAATGGATCGTTCATGTTTTTGAATGCTCTAAATATTAGAATGATATTTGTTCCAGTATGCTTTATATATATATTTTTTTATTTAATTTTTTTTCTGATCGCTAGAACCTTAGATTTATATTGTAATTTTATTTAGTTTTTTTTTCCAGTTAACAAAATATAGCGATCCTGGGTTTACCCTTGTTGTACAGTGATCCGGACATGTGTCTGTGGATGTTGATAGTTGATTATTATCTTGTTTACATCCTTTTACTTCGTATTTGAGTTATAGGATGTGTTGGGCAGGTTTGTTACAGGTTGGTTGAGTTTAGAAACCAAAACTAGTTGCCCAGATTTTGACCTGTCCGCTCGAGCGGGGGTTTTGGCGCTCGAGCGGGAATTGCACCCATCCAGTATTTCCTGTGCAGTGTTGGACGCTCGAGCGTGGGATTGGCCGCTCGAGCGGGGTTCTGCGTGTGACGCTCGAGCGAGAGAGTTGATGCTCGAGCGGAGACCTAGTTTTGCAAAAGTTCTGGGAGTGTGTATCCGCCGCTCGAGCGGGAGTCTGTGAGTGACGCTCGAGCGGGGTGTTTGACGCTCGAGCGGGTCGATTGGGTTTAAGTTCCGTGTGTTGACTTTTCAAATCACTTTTTCACTTTCTCTTCTCTCTCCTACTTTTCCAAAAACACCATTGTTGAGCCTCTCACTCTAGAACTCTACCTTCTCTCTAGGTTTTGATCTAGTAGGAGTGATTTGCTCATCTTTGGCCTTTACAAAAAAGTTGTTGATCGTCAAGGGCTACATTTTAATTTGAAAATTTCGGGATTTGGAGCACGTTGGGTTTTGTCATCTTCTCCCTTGGAGCTCCAAATTTGAGGTAGACTGGCCATGATCTGGCTAATTTGTACAAAAAACCGAGGTAGGTAGTACTCTCGATGCACTAAGGTTAAGCCTTAAGTATTCTATTTAGACAAGCTAAACACGATTACTCTGGTCATGGATGTCTAAGTCAGACTTAGACAAGATTCAGATGATGTATTCCTAATATGAACCTAAGTTGTATTTACATTCACATTAGGGGGCAGAGAGCAGAGATGAGTTAATGAAGACTGAGTCAATGATTTGAAAATGATACTTGGTGAAATTTTTAAACAAATTTGGTGAGATGAAGGTATCCGAGATAACACTTATACCCGAGATAACATGATTCAAGATGATGGTTTTATCCGAGATGTTAGCCTGCTCCTTATATTGATCTCGGACAAAGTCTTGGCCTTCTTGATAGGCCTTGGCATCTGCTCCTTGCTGGTTAGTGCCTCTGCTAGTTTCTTCTCAACTTCGATAGCCTTCTTTTTGGCAACCTTAGCAATGGCCTCGGCTTTCTATGCCTCGGCTTTGGCAGAAGTAACTTGGTCCTTTTGTTTCATGTGCTTCTCTCCCAAGATATTGAGTTGCTGGAGATATGAGCATGTTGGATTGACTATATGGAAGCTGCATAAAATTAAAAATGGAAAGCTCATATGCTTATCTGTGAATGTGGGATATAGTTTTTATACATATCTGTCGAGATGATGATAGAGCTAATATGCTTATCTGTTGAAAAGGGGAAAATTAAAAGTAACTTGGACTCATAAGTCGTATGACATAAATATGTGATTTATGTGAATGTATCAGTGTTGGCCATCTATCAATTGCTAATCTTTTAGTCATTGTTCATGGTTAGTTTAGTGTATTTCTACTGGACTGTGGCTCACCCTATATGGGAATATCATTTTCAGGTACAGGTAGCATGCCACCTCCAAGGACATAGCTTGGGAGGCTAGAGGCGGACATACTTTTGTCGTTTTATTTTTGATGTATTACATGTAAATTCAAGCCAAGGGCTAAATATGTAAATGAGTTAGTACTCTTTTGTTGTAACCAAGTGTTAACTTGGAAAGCTGTAAGCCCGTAGGGCATTTTGCTTTTGTTGTTAACATGTAATACTTTAGTAATGAAACTCTGATGAATGTAAGGTTGTGGGACTTTTATATATCAATGCATATTTATTTGATGGTTATTTTGAGGGCGTTACACAAAATCCCTAAATGTAAAAAGGATTTTTAGGTAACTTATTTTTCTTAAAAAAAAAATAAAAAAAAAATTTGAATGCTTATAAGTGTTTTTTTTTTTTTTTTCTTTTTCGAATTAGAAGCTTGAAGTGATTATTTTCTTGAATATACTCAGTAAGAATGAAGTGTATGTTTTTTTTAATTTTTTTAAATTTTAAATTATAGGCTTAAAGTGTTTGTTTTTTTATTTATTTATATCTGTTTGTTTGCTATTATTTTAAAAATTTCAAGCTTCATATTTTTGTTTGTTTTTCATTAAGTAAGCATGCTTTTATTTATATTTTTGGATGCTATAATAATGGTTTCATATTAGAATACATAATGCTCTTTGTTTTTGTATGTATCAGTTTTTAGAAAATAGTGTGTTAACTAATTGTTTACAAAATTGGAATTTATTAGCATGTTTGATTTGTTTATGTATATTATGCAATATATTTATTGTTGTATTTTGTGTCTAGATAATGGATCATTATCTTGTTGAAACAGCCACTGTTGGTGCCCAATCTACTGAAATAGCCACTGTTGGTGCCCAACCTAATGAAGGTAATACCACTTGACCTCTTCCTTTTGATAATTTATGCCTCCATTACCACTTAAGGAGAAGGGTAAGGCAAGGGAAAAAGGTAGTGGTAGGAAACCATCAAGAGCATGGGATCATTTTAATAAAATTAAAAATGAGAAAGATGGAAGTATTGTCAAAAAGAATACACAGCTAAGTGAAAGTCTTATGGGACTAGTAATTTATTGAGTCATGTGGCTAGTTAACATACATTGTCTTTCAAAACAAAAAAGATGGAAATGATGTCAGACTTGTGGTAACTTCTTTTACAGTAGAAGGTGCTAGGAAAGCTCTAGCTGAAATGATCATTCTTGATGAATTGCCTTTTAGATTTGTTGAAAGGGGTTGATTTTCGTAGGTTTTGCAATGCTTTACAACCAAAGTTTACCATGATTCCATCTCGTACCACTGTTGCTAAAGATGTAGCTGTGATTTTTAACACTGAGAGGACTAAGTAAAGAAATTTTTTTAAGGGTCGTAGAGTTTGCCTTACAACTGATACGTGGACATCCATACAAAATCTTAATTACATATGTCTTACAGCTCATTTTATTGATAATGATTGGAAATTGCAAAAAAAGATTTTAAATTTCTATCAAGTTGAGGATCATAAAGGTGAAACTGTTGGTAAGAGGATTGAGTTATGTTTACTTGAATGGAACCTTGGTAGTGTGTTTTACTTTGACTGTTGATTATGCGAGTTCTAACAACACAACCATTAAATTCTTGAAAAGAAAAACAAAATATAAGAAGGGCACTGTTTTGGATCATGAGTTCTTACATATGCGTTGTTGTGTACATCTTTTGAATCTCATCGTTGGTGAGGACTTGAAAGAGTTGGATACTTCAATTTGTTGTGTGCGTGATGCTATGAGATATGTGAGGTCGTCTCCAAATAGGCATGAATCTTTTAAGAAGTGTGTGGAGATCTGTCAAATTGAGTCCAAGTTTCTGTTATGCTTTGATGTACCTACTAGGTGGAATTCAACTTACTTGATAAAAGAGAGTGCTGAAAAATTTGAGAAAGCATTTGAGCATTTAGAGAAGGAGGACTCAAATTATCGATCTTACTTTTTAGAAGGTGATGAGGAGGATGGAAATGGTAAAAAGAAGAAGTCATGGGGTGCTCTAACAAAGGGTGACTGGAACAATTGTAGATTATTTTTAAAATTCTTAGGGCTTTTGTAAAATGCTACTAAAAGGTTTCCGTGCTCTCTTTATGTAACTTCTAATTGTTTTTTTTTTTTGATGATATGTTTGTTATTCTAACAAAGATTGAGCAATTGAGTAAAAAAGATGGGAAATAAGATGAATTGATGGCTTTAATGGAAAAAGGAATGAAATAAAAATTTGACAAATATTGGAGTAATTGAGATAAAATAAATTTGTTGATATATGTTGTTATAGCGCTTGATCCACAAAATAAAATAAAATAAAATAAAATAAATTGAGGTATGTTCAATTTTGTTTTTCCCAATTTTTTGGTGAAAGTGTAATCAATACAATGACTGGTTAAGTGAAAGATTGTTTGACTCGTTTGTATGACCATTACCTTGCAAATGATTCAAATTTTGTAGAAGTGCAAGACACAAATGAACCATCTAGGATGGGGATTGATGATGATTGTGATGATCCTCATTTGTTGATTGAATCTCAATTTAATACATATTTGGATGCTGAATTTTCTGTTATGTGCAAGTCCGAAGTGGACAAGTATTTGGCTGATTGTTGTGAAGGAGTGAGAGGTAAAAATTTTGAAATTTTGGGGTGATGGAAAGCTAATTCTTCTAAGTATCAAGTGTTGTCCCAAGTTACTCGTGATGCCGGTTTCAATAGTGGCTTCGGAGTTAGCATTTAGTACCGGTGGACGCATTCTTGATCCTTTTCGAAGTTCTCTTTCTCTCATGATAGTTGAGGTACTTGTTTGTATTCAGAATTGGCTTCAAAGCACTGTGCCAATCTCTCTTTGCAAGGCAATAGATGATGTTTTAGAATTTGAGCAGTATCAGGTAATTTTGAGCATAAAATTGATTTATTAATTTTGTTTATCTTTTGATTTAATCATCTGCTTTTATTATTGACTTGTTTTATTTTGTGGCTTTTCCAGAATCAAATTCATTCACAAACTTAAGTTCAAGTCCCATAACTGTTTAGCATGGCAATAGAGCATAGCTTGGTAAATAAGCTGAAATCTTTTTTCATTTTATACTATGTTGTTTGCTTTGATTTATGTTTACTTATTTATCAAATTGTTTTTCCTTGCAAGTGGTTGATACCTGTTGATAATACCTTTTTTCTTTGGCACTATTTGATGATGGTCTTTTTTGTGTATTTTCTATCCATCATTTCTATCAAAGTTGTTCATATTCTACTATGCTATGTATTAATATTGCTTCAGTTCTATAATAGGATGAATGTAATCATTAAAAGCAATTACAAATTTCTGATTGGTTAATTTTTTTTGAAGTTTTTTGGCTGCTAATTGGAGTGGCAAGTTTAGAAGTAGTGAATATTTTGATAGTTGCTGAGTATAGTTGCATATTTCTTTTGTGCTTTTGGCTATGAACATGATAGCTAATAGGTTATCTTGATGATGCTGCCAATAAAAAAATTTGATAATTGATCTTGAGTTACTTATTTTGTTTGTTAATTGGAAGCTTTGAACCAATTTGTAATTTTTTGTTTGTTTGTTTGTATGAAAAGTTTGAAACTATAGCTTTTCTTCTTAATATAATGGGTGAATTACACCAACGGTCCCTATAGTTTGGGATTTGTGTTACTTTGATCCCTGACTTTTCAATTGTGACACATTTGACGCTAAATTTTGAATCTTGTTCTCAATAAGGACAATTGAAAATACCATTCAATTTTTCAAGGGCAAATTCGTCAATTTGATAAAATATAAATTAATTTGAAAAAAATAAATGTCAAAAAATTATTTTTGAATTTTTTAAAATTATTTTTACCTACTAAAGATAAAATTATATAAATTGATAAATCTTTTAGACATTTATTTTTTTTACCACATTATTTTTTATTATGTATTTGGATGATGATCCTGTAAAATTAATTTTAAAAAATTAATCACGCAATTTTTATTAATTTTTAGCAATTTTACATAATTTTATCTTTTGTGGGTAGAAATAATTTTTAAAAATTTTAAAATATTTTTTTGACATTTATTTTTGTCAAATTAGTTTATATTTTATCAAATTGACGATTTTGCCCTTAAAATTAAGCAATGGTATCTTTAATTGTCCTTATTTGAAACAAGATTCAAAATTCAGGATTAAATGTGTCACAATTGAAAAGGCAGGACGTAAAGTGACACGAGTCCTAAACTATAGGGCTATTAGTGTAATTTGCCCTAATATAATTGGGTTTAAAACAGGTAGCAAGTGGTGTATGAAATTTGTTAGTTAATTATTTTTTATTGATATTATTGTGTTTGGAATTTATTATTTGTTTGGTTAACAAATAATTCTTTTTATTATGATAGTTTTTTAGAATTGTAAGATTATAAATTTAATATTTTTTGCTAATTATACTTTCAATTGTAAAATTGTCTATTTTTACAATTACTAATATTTTAACTTGATAATAAATTAAAAATCATGCAAAAATATCTATTTTCATAATAAAATTACTAATGGTGAAAGCCCAATTATGGTTTGGGCCAACTAATTTTATTGTCACAGCTTAACCCATGAAACTGACCGAATCCAATCATCAACTTGATTCCTATGAACGAACAGTTTCAAACCGTCACTCGGTCGAAATCGAATATTAATTCTCCCAACCCGAATCTGTTCGGTCAACTACTGATTGATAGGTCAACCCAATATGAACTGACCCGTGTGCATATAGAGTATATTTGTTTTTACCATTTAAGTGATTAAGGTTATTTTGGCTTGTTTTGGCAAGTGGATAAAAAGTAGTTTTTTTGAGCTTTTTGGATTTTTTGGATTACATCATGTCTCTATTTTTTTACACATTTTTTTTAAAAATAATAAAATCAAATTAAAAAAATTAAATTTTAACCTACTTCCCAAAGCAAGCCTTTATTTACAAGTTTGCTTTGATATACAAATTGTATGTGTATAACAAGCCACAAACTTTTATAATATCAACTACAAAATTTTAAATATTTTGTTATATCAATTTGTACTAATATTATATATTTTGTAATTAATTTTTAAAAAATTTATGTTAAAATTATATATTTTTGTGATAGGTGTCCATATTATTCACCCCTTCAGAGATGCACAATATAGGATTTTCGTTTAATCTAACATATTTGGATTCTCCAATGCACCTCTATTTATAAAATATGTAATCTTATCGGAAATTAACATAATTAAAAATATCATAATCAATCATAAATTTTTGCAAAATAAACAAAAAAGATTATGAATATTTTGTTATGTCAATTTATAACGAGATTATACATTTTATAATATATATACTCTTAAAAAAGTGCACAACATAGCCTGTGTTTGGCAAGTGAGTTTGTAGGCTTTTTTAGCTATTTTAGTCACAAAAAACAAAATAGGTTATTTTAGCCATAACAAACAAAACATCACATCCAACCCATAATCATTACATTCTTCTCTCACAAAAAAATTTTAAAAAGCCAAAAAGCCAAAAAGTCCTTCCCAAACCAAGCTTTTAAGCCCAGGCTAAAATAGTCAAAAAAGTCAAAAAGCCAAAAAGTCAACCCTCTTCCCAAACGGAGGCATAGCATTTTTCACTTATACTATATTTGGTTAAGAGATTTAGAAAAGAATTTAAAAAAAATATATATATATAAAATTAAATAAAATATATGCATATTTTATTCACATTTCATTTATCTTTTCTATTTTTTTTTTTAAATTTACTTACAAATCTCTCCAACAAACACATCATTAAAGTTTACAGGTCGCCTCATAATTCGTGGCTGCAACGTAACTTGGATATGATATGTCATGTCATGTCATGTCACAAATGGAAAAATAAAAAAAAGTTTGGCAGGTGTGAAGGTGAATGGTACTGTGAAAAACAAATTGGGAAACATGAAAATGTAATGAATGTTTTTAGGCACACATTGCACAAGGATTTGAATGGAAATTGTTCCAACTTTTGATTGTCTTTTACGAGTCGCCTGTTTTGAAGAACAAAAGAAAGACTTAGAATATATGATTATTCAAAATTATGCGAGTGTTTCAAAAAAATATTATTTTATTATCTTATTTTTATATCATATTATATTTAGAATACATTTCATAATAGTTTGACTTAATTTTTATTATATCTTATTAAAAAATCGTGATTTTCATTTAGAATATTACATTTAGAATATATTTTCATTATATCTTAATTTTCATTATATTTTTCATTATATATAAAATCGTCGCTAAAAATATTTTTTATAACGATTTTTTGCATATATCTTTAAAAATTGACAATTAGTGATTTTTTTTTGTTATGATTTATAAATTATTACTAAAATTTACAATTAGTGATATTTTTCTACGACGAATTTATCAAATTGTCATTGAAAGTTGAAAATTAGCGAGTTTTTTGACAATTTTTTTAAATTATAGCTAAAATTTATAATTAGTAACATTTTTTATGATAAAATTTTCAAACTGTAATGAAAATTAACAATTAGTAACATTTTTTAGTAATGTTTGGTGAACAATGTATTAATTTTTAAAGAACTTATTGGATAATAAGTCCACATATGAAGATTTACAAGTAAGTCCCTCTTATATTTATTCTTTTAAAATAACTTTTAAATTCAAAAACTATTCACTTAACTTGATATATATAAATTATTAAATTTTTGTTTGAATGTTTGAGAAATATTGACTGAATTTGACTCTTTTAATACTTATTTAAATTTGGACAATTACAAATTCTTATGGAATATGATTTTAGACCTTCTAAAGTATGTTTGAAGTTTCCTATATAAAAAAAAAAAAGTTTGAACTTAAGCCCTAAAACGAAATATATATATTGTTCAAAATTAGAAAGAAAATATCAAGTTAACTGCTACATGGAAAAATATTATTATATTGAGATTTTAATTTATGTCAGAAATGTGAGTTATATATAATAAAATATTTTTGCGTTACATGACTGTTAATGTGTCATTTTTTGGTCTAATTTTGAATATAAATTAGATCTAGAAAAAATTGAAAACAATTTAAAACAAAAAAATTAATGAAACATCATTCTTCAATTTTGGATAGTAAATGATATTCAATATGATTTTTTTTTATTAACTAAGATCTCTTAATGAAACTTTTCTATGATTATATCTCGGGACGAAATTTTTCTCTGTGACAATATTAAAGAATTCTAATTATTATGAAAATATTATATTTTATTTATCTTGTAAAATCCTCAAGTTAAAACATGTAAAACCAAAGTAAAAGATTTAAAATTTCAAAAATTAAAATAAAAAATAATCCAACATAAAAGGTAATTTATCCAAAAATATCTATAATGGATGGATCCGGACTCGCTTGAACCGCCACGGCCTGTTAAAAGGGTTTATTTTTACAAATTTAGGATTTGTTTGAGATGTGAGTTGATTTTTTAGCTATTTTAAATCTTATTTGGCAATAGTATGTTCTATTATAAAAATTACAAAATTACTAGAAAAATTAAAAAATTAAAAAATTCTATAACTTTACAAAAAGTCAAAAATTCTTTTTTTTTTTTTACTTTTTACACATCTTTTCGTAAAAAGTAAAAAAAGTCATTTCAAACATATTAAGGCCTAGTTTGGGAAGACTAAATAAGTGCACTTTTTGACTTTTTATGAAATATAGGTTGAGTTTGGGTTGGGTTTGAAGTGATGTGTTAGAGATGTGATGTGACTTAAATAAGATGATGTGACTTAAATAGGATAGTGACTTTTTGACTTTTTGTCTTTTTCCAATTATGCCAAACTTGGCCTAATTCTTTTACCTTATATTTTAGCTAAAAAGTTAAAAAGTTACTAAAATAACATGTTCCCGAATGAGGCTTTAGGGCTAAAAAATTTCGTTTGAGATAGATTTTTTGATTTTTTTTAACTTTTATGAAAGAAAAAATAAAATGATTATAATTTAGATGTGATATTTTATCTTATTATGATAAAAAAATACATTTTATTTTTTTATGACTATTTTAACCAAAATCCTACCTTTTAACCTATATCAAATGAAGATTTAATTATCTATACTATATATTAAGCAAAATGAGGTTTTTAACCCCTAAGGCTTGTGAGAGTTCCAATATCCCAATTTGAATTTTCTAAATTTTTTATTAAAAAAAAAAACTCAACATTTATTGATTTGGTCAAAATATCATGATCAGCATTTATTAACTTTTTTCAATCCACATGTCTTTTCACATGTCTGCATTTATTGATTTGGTCAAAATTTCTTAATCAGCATTTAAAATCCC